TTGCCATGTTTCCATCATATGTGGGAACAAAAACATCACTCTCCAATGAAACGAGGTAATCCAGTGCGGCCATCTGGGAAGAGTGATTTTGAAAGAATCTAAGATCAGCAGGCTCCAACAGTGTCTCCTTTCTAACCTGTTTTAATAGGAAAACCACAAACATTATGTAAAAACCAAAGTCAAATTAATGGGGAGCTAAAAAGTGTAATGCCACTATCTCCACTAACCAGGTTTGGATAAGATGCCATTAGACTAGAAATTCTTCTTTCTCCACCATATATTTCTCCCGCAGCAATGTAAACTTGGATATTGGAATCAATGTTTAATGCCTTTAATGTAAGAGCAGTTTCCTCAGGAGTCAATGGGCATAACCCGTCTTTCCTTTTCAAATCTGAATTTATGATTTTTTCCTTCCACCATGGATAAGCATACCTACATTTAACATTGAATTAGTAATAATAATAATAAGAACAACAACGTGTAATTATAATAACAATAACACAAAACCAGCAGGGGTGGGGGTGTGGGGGGTACCAAGACTACCCATAAACACAGAACACATCATTTCTAACAGAGGACCTAATACAATGCAAACATGGGGAACTTGAGTTTACCTCATTCTTGTCAACTCTTCAACCTCCTCCTTGTTGCATCCATGGGTGCAGCCAGAGAAAGCCAACATGTCCATTTCATATCTAAGATGCAGTACAATGAAAGGACCTTTTTCCCTTAAAAGGCTGATAACCTTTCTGCCCAAGTCTTCGATCTGTTGTGTGAATTTTAGGGCACTAAAATTTACCCGGCACCGCAGTTTCTGGATTTCCAAAGGCTGACCATTGTTTGCAAGCCGAGCATCAGTTCTGTTCAAATGGACCACTTTGTATTTCCGTATTAAAGGTAGAATCTGGTTTCAGATACATAACATTAGGATGGAAGAAGAGCATAATACCATGACTAAAAATAATAAACCACCAAAAAATTAAAACAAAAAAACCAACCTGATTTTGATAATATGATATATCAGACCAGCTAATGGGTGGCATTGTATAGATTATTCCTAGCTCTACTCTCCTCTTTAGCCTTGGGGGTAGCTCTTTTAATATCCGGACCTCATCTCTCAAAGATGTGATGAAATGATCAACATCAAATATGTCTTGAAACTCACTGCAAGTTGAGCAATTTTCACATGATAAGAATGGAAAAACAATAAGCAAGATATGGACGTGAGTGTTTGGAATTTTTAGATGATAAAGAGGAGTACCTTGGATCAGCCCAGAAAGAAGTCTTATCAAGCTCAGGAACAATGAGAGTAACATTCAAATGTCTTGCTATAGCAACCATATCGCAGATCTGTAGCCTCAGAAGAAAAAGATAACCAAGAACACATGGAACATCAAATTCACAGATAGCAGAAAGCTATTCCGACCCAATGAGTAAGTGAGCTGATAAACTACATACCGCTGACCTCATTTGATTAAGCCCTCCATTACATGAAACCATCAGATACCCGTTGTTCTTATAAAGCCCTGGATTCAGCAACATCACAACAAAGGTCAGTCTTGCAAGTTGACCAATTTAAAAGGAACTAAAGATAACTTAGAATGGTTTCAATCACAGCAATGACATTAGCTTGAACAGCTTGAGACAGCATGAAGATTGTCAAGACCATAAAGGTGAGGTTTCCAGAGAGTCTCCTAAATGGTTCCTAGTCATTTTGAGAACACCGAAACTTTATCTCTAAGAGATTTTGTGAAGTCCCAGGTAGTATAATAGTTGATACAAAATCTGTGCTAACAATCCACTTAGCATATCTCCTACGGTGTACATATTCTCTCTCAACCTTTCAGATCAAAAGACTAACTTCAAAACAATCGGATCACACAAGCATACACACACATAACAAAGGAGCAGGAAATCTACTCACTCTTGGGTGGGAGCACTCTAGCAGGAACCTCTCGATCCGCACTAAGATGCATTGCGGAAGTGGATTCCTGGGAGAAACAGGATGGCCAGCCCTTCAAGACCCTCGGCCCCCAAGTCTCCCCCAAAGTGGTCAGCTGAACAAAGCAAGTCCACAACAGCACGGATGTAGTCGCCCTTATCATCCACAGCTTCATTCTTGACCTGGACGAAATCACCGAGCTCTTGAGCTTCTCCACCCGGCTATCCCCAAACTTGGTCGCGGTCTTCATCCCCATTGCAGCTGATGCCCGCCTACTCTTCTCTCTTTCTGCCTCCCAACTTCACTCTCCTCTCCTTCTCCTCTGCACATATCCCCCCATACATTCAATTCTCAGTGTTGTATTCCTCAAAATCTCACCCCAAATGCACAATCAAATTGCTTGTTCTAAAAAAATGTGGGATCCAATACCTTCCTAAATTGATCAAAAGCGTTACCTAGAAATCATCTCAACTTCCAGTTTTCAAGAGATATCCCGTCCAGATGAGAAAATCTCAAATCTGACCAAAACGACTTCTTAAGAAATAAATTGAAAGAATCCTTTTCTTCAACCGCGTCAATGGAACGAAGAATATTCCTCCAGGATTTAGAGTGAAGGCGCTAACTTCGTTAAACCATTGCAATTGATTCATCAGAAAACTTCCATCTTTCCGCGATCACGGAGGCACAGGCCACCACAACTGAATTTCTGCGTTATCTTATAAACGGGCCGGGACGGATTGGCAATGAATGTCGCAAAGATCAGGCGGATTTCGAGGCAAAAAGAGCGGGCGATGACCGGAATAAGAAAATGTCGGCGGCCGGCGACGAGAGAGGAACGCGAAGCGAAGAATAGTGTAGGTTGGGGGTTGGTGGTGTGGTGTTAGCCTTCTTAACCATTCTTGCTGGTTGTTAATTTATTTATATGTCAAATATTTATGATGATGATAATGATAATTAGTACTCCGTATATGTTAATTTTTCATTCTTTTGACATTTTTACATTAAACTTCAATGTAATAATATTTAGGATGTTTCATTTATAAAATTGATAGTTCCACCTCCTAATCCCAAACCTCTTCCCCTGCCCTCAAACTTAACACTTCCCCCACTTTCACCCTAACACCACCACATTGATCGTGTCAAATCGACAATTAAGGGGGTGGGGGGCTTTGTTGGTTAGGCCGTAAAAACTACTCCCTCTGTTCCAAATTATTTGCCACATTTGTATTCCCGAGACAAAATATCAAGTTTTTTCAATTCATTTTATTTACATATTGGTAAAGAAATAAAAAATAAAATTTACATATAAAAAACTACATGAAAAGTTCTTCAAAATAAGAAGTGTCAAGAATATTTTATTTTATCAAATAATTAATGAAAATGTCGAAATAAACAAAAGTTCTCGACACTGCTAAAAAAGCAAATGTTGTGAATATTTAGGGACGAAAGGAGTATAAATTTTACGAACAACTTTAACATTTTGTATTAATATTTTGAAAAGACTAACCAACGGAAATGTTTAGCTGCTGTGTTTTCAAAGTTAATTTATATCATTTCTTATTTAAAACGTTAACCCTAATAAAATTATTGTTTCCAAACAAGGCTTATATGTGTCCAATGTTTTTACACTTGATTAAGTGTCATATTATAAGGGTGTTTCTTTATGCTAGTCTTATTGATTTATTACTGACAAACAATTTTTAACTTGTAAGATTCTTATAAGTTAAATGTTGTTTAGTGAAAGTACGTAAAATGACTTAGAGCGGTGGAAATGGGCGTAACACCCACCGCGTCTAACACAGTTTTAATGTCGGGAAGGCGTTAAACATCGCCCCCTCCTCCGTCATTGGTGCACTATCTCTCATGTGTTAAACATTTGATGCAGCTATGTGTTGCTGCTTTTCGATCGTTCCCCCTCCCGTACGGTCCAAATTATGGCCGTTGGACAAAAAATTTAAATAACACAACAAACACATACAACATATTTTCATTCTCTCTATAATTTCTCCCAACAAACACATAGAACATATTTTCATTCTCTCTATAATTTCTCTAAAATATACTTTATTTCTTCTACTTCTCTCTATAAAATATTCAAAAAATGGGATCATTTTCATCTGACGACAAAAGAAGAGCTCTCATTTTTCGTTGTTTCGCGACGGGTTGTTACCAATGGTGGCACCAAGGCCAACAGGAGGAAGCAGAATTGTCCCAACGCTCGACCCGACGTGAGCGTTTAAACTATGATCTGGCAGCTGCACACGAATAACTGTGATACAGAAGATGAATTACATTATTTAATTAGTTATTTATTAATTAGTAGTATTATATAGGTACTCAAGATTAGGTTTTAGTATGGGGCCCAAGCCCATTAGGTTAATTAAGGTTTCTTGTATCTCTATATATTGTACTCTCGTATTATTATTATTCAATCAATAAAGAAATATCAAAACCCTAATCTCTTTCTCTATTCTCTCGGAGCCCGGAAACGCTCGAAGTTTTCTATCTTTCTCTACCTAATTTTCTTGGAGCTTGAAGAACGCTCGAAGTTCTTCCCTATCCGATACGATATTCGTATCAATTGGTGCTCTCGTTGAGAGAAACGCCAAACAAAAAAATCAAAAACAAAAAAAATCGAGACGATCTAGTAGTAGCCGCCGTGTCCTAACCGCCCAAATTTTCGTCGATCTGAAAAGCAAAAAGCTTTGGATGTGCCGAGCTTTTTGCCGTCGGAGAGTCTCCATCCGTTCCAAACGCCGCTGCTGCACTTGATTTGATCCGTCCAAAACGGCGCAGCCACCGAGCTTTTTTTGTCGTCCAGGAGCTTAAATTGGTTTCCCATCCAAAGCTTTGTTTGTGAAATCAGCCGCCAATTAAAAAAAATCATATCCTACTGCAGCCATCAAGTCGTGCCCACTCACCGAAGCAGCAAGTGTCCATAGGATTTTTTGTTTGGTGCTAATTTTGATTCAATTTGGGTGCTGCTACTTGTGGTGTTTTACCAACAACAACAAAAAAAGGACAAAATCAAAACTACTACTGCAGCACAAAGGCATATCGCAAAAAAAAGGGACCAGAGTCGATTTGTTTTTTTTGGACTGTGTTGATTGGTCAGCTCCGACTAGAATGCAGCGAGATTTTTCATTGCAAATGGAGGCCCAATTCACGCGCTTAAAGGCTTTGATTATCAGTACCAGTGCATTGGACAAACTAATTGAATTGCTGGAGAATGTTCTATATGGAGAAATTGAGCATGACGAAGGAGTTTGCACACTTTTCGATCACATAGATGAAATTCTCAAGAATCTCCGGTCATTTTGCCCTATTGGAGGTAAAACAAATTATGATTCTGACTTACATGCGTTGGGCATTGAAATCTCTTGTTTAGTCCAAAATTTGGTTCGTGGTCCTCCAGTTTTGTCAGGTTTGATTTCTTTGGAGTTACAAAATTTTAGAACAAAAACGTTGGATGCTATAAAAAGTCTCATTGACGCATCTTTTCCTCCACCAAGTTTACCCCCTACGCCTAGAGACACAACTATCCAAATGAAGGAAGAAAAGGTATACACCTTGCTCCTATTGTGAAGGACACATCTGGATATGAGAGACTAAGAGTTGAGCCGCACCCTAAGAATGAAAACAATAGCGAGTTTCTCGTCATGAAGGAAGATGATAATGTTACTATTAAAAATGATGAGTCATCCCACAAGTCAGATCTTGCACTTTATGATACATCAGGTGTTGTGGACACTACAAGGTATGAAGTTCTCGTGATTGTAGACCAGGTAGCAGAAAACTCACTTTTCAGTTATTTGACATTGTTGATGTTGTCAAGTCTGAATATCCAGTTTCAAAGCAGACGGTTCTACACACTTCAACCAACACGCTTTTTGTAAAACGCTCACCAGGTGGACTTTGTGTTTGGTTCAATGTTTTATCGCCAGTTCAGAAGCACGAGTGGGAGCCTCCACCTTGAGGACAAGGTGGTTTTTAAGGGGGTGGGAATGATATGATATTATATTAGTTATACTATTTATTAATTAGTATTATTGATTATTATTTTATAGTTAATCTAGTTTAGAGTTTAGTACGGGCCTAAGCCCATTGGGTCAGTTGGTGTTGCTGCATTACTCTATATATTGTAATCATTTCTCGTAATTACTCAAGCAATAAGAATATCAAGATTCTAATCTCTCGTCTCTCATTTCTTGGAGCCGAAAACGCTCGAAGTTTTCCTTCTCTCTTTGCCTCCCCAATCTTGGAGCCCGAAGACGCTTGAAGTTCTTCCCTATCCGATACGATATTCGTATCACCCAGAAATACTCAGTGGAGTCAATTTTTTAGTTCCATAATTCTTCGTTCATGTTTCCTCTTTCTTCTTTCATTGATAAAAAGTAGAAAGATACATGTAAAATATTGATACTCTACATAAAAAATAGAAAGGTACATGTAAAATATTGATACTCTACTATGTAATATTGATATTCTACATTAAATTCAAATATTGGTTGTTTGCTTCTGATCCAAGTCACAGATTAAATTTGAGACCTTGTATGTTATATGACGATAAGTGAAAGGTGTTTACACCTACCACTAGGCCGATGTTTGTATTATGTATGATTTATTTGATGTTTTTATCTTCTTCTTATATTATAAATATAATTTTGATATGTCTTGAGCGACCCAAACTATCCCTTTGCCCACCAAAATTGTCGATTTGCTACAGTATTAACTACTCCGCATTAAAGTTGAATAAAAACAAATTATTATTAAACTATTACTACCTCTGTTCTCAAAAACACTTTCTCTTTCATTTTTTTACTTCCAACAAAAGGCTTCCACTTTCTATTAAAAACTACTTTTACCCTTACTTTTTCATACCTTACCTATCACTTAATACTTTTTGTTCTAATAATCTATCCACCGCATCTTACTTTTACACATCACATCAAAGGCAAAATTAGAAGCCAACTACAATTTAACACTTCCTTATTTTTACACTTGGCCAAACTAGGAATCTTTTTTTAGAACCGAGGGAGTATTATATTATGATTCAAACTAGAACTTTTATCAAAATCTTAAAATTACAAAATGTTGTTGATGGATATCGGGTCTGGTAGACCCGACTCCAGGCCCAAATAAAGGCCTATAATGACCTAAAAGGTATAAAGTCAGATGGAGATAATGGGCCGAGCCCATTATTGCGCATATGGCAGATAGAGAAAGACGGCCCAGTCATGGAATAAATTGAGGTGACCCAGTCCAAGAAAGGAGTGGGACACGTGGCCCACGTCATGGGGTCATATACGGAGTGGGAAGAGAACGAGATCGGAAAAGAGAGAATCACAACCCCATGATCTCCATAATCCTTTCCATTTTGTATAATTTTAATTATATTATTGGAGATATTATAAAAAGGGGAAGAACCCGCCATTGTAAAGCATGAGACAATTGAATACTCAATAGTGGAATATTATCAAGTGATCTTCCTGATTCATATTACGTTCTTGGTCCGCCATTTGATCGGGCTAATCCCATCAGTTGTATATGAGTTCATGGATTAAAAATAATTTTTTAAATAAGTATTAACAATTATTTTGAAACTAATGGAGTGAATTTAGTGTTTGGATATGGTGTGAATGTTACGGTTTGGTGGCCTAGCAGGAGTGACAAAAAATTGCTCCTGGGTACTCTCGTTTTTAAAAATATACTCCGGGATACCTTAAAATATGTGAAAACTAACTCCGCAGGGACTTTCCATCCATCCTTATTTCATATTCATTTGTTCCGTTTTCTTTTTTCATCTTTTCCCAAAAATTGTTGTTAGGTACCACCAATTTTATAGAAAGAACCTCCTGATCCCATATTTTCTAAAAATATACTCCGGGATACCCTAAAATATCCAAAAACTTACTCTAGAGAGATTTTCCTTTTTCCTTCTTCTTTTATTATTATTATTACTATTATTATTGTTGTTATTCTAATTATAATTATTTTTATTATTATTGTTGTTATTATTATTAATATTATTAATATTGTTGTTGTTGTTGTTGTTATTAAATTACTATTATCATTATTATTATTGCTTATTGCTCACTGGGTTATCACTAGGTTATCACTAGTCGTTTCTCACTTGGTTATCACTGGTCGTTGCTCACTGGGTTATCCCATATTATTGCTTATGGCTTATTGCTCACTGGGTTATGTCTAGTCGTTGCTGCTGCCTATAAGGTCTCACTGGATTGTTCCTGCACGCATTCTAATAATAATAATAATAATAATAATAATAATAACAATAATAATAATAATAATAATAATAATAATAATAATAATAATAATAACGACAACAACAATACTAATTAAGAATAAAAGAAGGAAAAAGAAAGTCTCTCCCTAGTAATTTGTTTTGGATATCTTAGGGTATCTAGAGTATATTTTATAATCTTTTTGTATACATTGGATATCTTAAAATATTTTAGTGTCCCATTATTTTTAATATACATATATGTGAGTGAGTGTGTGTGTGTATATGTATGTATGTATGTATGTATATATATATATATATATATATATATATGTATGTATGTGTGTGTTTATATATATATATATATATATATATATATATATATATATATATATATGTATATATATATATATGTATATATATATATATATATGTATATATACACACACACTCCGCCATGACCTCGAATATCCAAAAACTTAGTCCGGAGGGACTTTCCTTTTCTCCTTCATTTATTATTAATTTTGATATTAATCTTTTTGCTATTATTATTACTATTACTATTATTATTATTATCATCATTTTTATTATAGTGCGTGCAACGACAATCCAATGCGACTCAATAGGCAACATCGACGTCCAGTGACAACTGCGGAAGATAATGACGAAGTGAGTAATAATAATAAAGATAGTAATAATAATAATAATAATAATAACAACAACAACAACAACAACAATAACAATAATAGTAGCGGTCCGGTTCTAGTGACACCGGAGAACGGTGCCACTCCGGTTCCACTGAGTTTTTGGGGCACCTCCGGTGCTCCGTTCGTAAAATTAACGGTTCCTATTCCCCCTAACCCACCTCCTAAACCCCCCACCCTACCCCCACCCCTGCACCCCTACCCCAACCCCGCCGTAAGCCCCCCACAAATTGTGTGGCTATTATGCATTTCATAATAGCCACACATTTTGTGGGGGCTTACGGCGGGGTTGGGTTGGGGGTGCAGGGGTGGGGGTAGGATGGGGGGTTTAGGGGGTGGGTTAGAGGGGTAGGAATCGCCAATTTTACGAACGGATTACCGGAGGTGCCCCAAAAACCCAGTGGCACCGCTAGTGGCACCGTTTTCCAGTGTCACTAGAACCCCACCGAGATAGTATTAATAATAATAATAAAAGAATGAGGAAAAAGAAAAGTCTCTCGAGAGTTAGTTTTTGGTTATTTTAGGGTACTCCGAAGTATATTTTTTAAAAAAATAAACTTTATAAAAGGTCCCCAGTTATAGTTTATTTATCATATATAGTCCATACATATCAAATATCAATAATTTAGTCCCAATTATTATATTGTTTTCCACAAATGGTCGCTTGCTAACATTTTTGTTGAAAATGTGGATAAAATTAAAAATTCACGCTCCTCTCTCTCCTCAATTAAGCTTCCTCTCTTCTCTCACACTCCTTTCCCAAACCCGTCACTGAGTTTGAAGTTCTAAATCCAAAATCGAAACGATCTTTTCTATCACAGTTGTTCATCTTCCTCGTGGAGCCCAAAATCGAAACAATAACCTTCATGAATGAGTTTTATGGGTTAGTCTCAGAAAATTGCAAAGAAAACAAACCTTAAAACTCATCCATGAAGGTTACTAGTTTCGATTTTGGAGAGATGAGTGATGATTTTGGTTTTGGGTTTAAAGTTTCAAACTCAGCGACGGATTTGGGAAATGAGTGCGAGAAGAGGGAAGAAGCTTAATTAAGGAGAGAGAGGAGCGTAAATTTATAATTTTATCCACGTTTTCAATAAAAATATTAACAAAGGACTATTCGTGAAAAATAATATAATAATTGAGGATTAAATTATTGATATTTGATATCTAGAGACTAAATATGTAAAATGAACTATAACTGAAAACCTTTTATGGAATTTACTCTTTTAAAAAATACTCCGAGTATGAAATTTGGATGTTTTTCTACAAAATTGGAGATAGACCCTTGGATATTTTAGGTACTCGGAGTATTTGTTTATAGACCGTTGTCGGTGGTGAATGTTTAAATGTCGAGTTTAACGGAAGATAATGAGACGCCCGGATGTGTATATGGGGTCCACGTAAGATGTCACGACTTAAGTTAACGGTAAAGAAGCATTTAGAGTTCCAACGGGCCCCACCATTTTCATAGAGTGGGGCCACACCGTCACATGCCCACTCTTTGTGAATTTCATTTTATCTAGGGATACTAGCTTTTATCCACTAGATTTTATCCAAATGCTCACCTCCTAACATGTTGGTTATTATTTGCACAACATACCTTTTTAGAGTTAAATTGAACACATTTTTGGACTTGATTAAGTAAAAATTATAATATATTTGGTATAAAAGTCATTTTAATATATTCAACTTGTTTAGAAATTTTAAGAATTTATTCTATCATATTGATATGCAATGCAAATTGAGATTAAATAATGATTAAAATTTATCTAGTTTGACTCGAAATGTCAAACTAGACGAATACTCTCGATCGAAGAGGGTATAACAATAAGAAATAAAAATAATATCGTTTAAAAATATATAAAAATTCTACAAAATAAGGAATGATAGAAGTATTTTATTTTATCAAATTATCAATGAAAAATACAAACAAAAAAGTTATCGAGAGGTCGTAAGAGTTTATTGCACTAATACCCCTCGTGGTTTGATAAAAATGCACGGTTGCCTTCCATGAAATCACAATAGTTCTCCTTATCTTTTAGCACTCTAAGGGTTGCAATTTAGCATTAAATTTAAATTAAAGTTGTGACAAATAAGGTTGAGTGTTTTAAAAATGAGTTTGCTACTTTAAAGTTTAAGGGGGTGTATTTAATTCGGATTTTAAAAGATTTTGATAAATTGTTCAAAATCTATAGATTATATAAAATCAACGAATTATTTTAAGTCTATGCAGAGTTTTGATAGATTTTGATGTATTTTTCAATAGAATTTTGTATGATTGTTTACTATCCATTGTTACTTTTTTTATTCTTCTCTCTGTTTCTCTCTTTCTCTGTTTCTCAGATTTTCTTCCTCTGTAACATCGTGCGTCCCTTCTTCTCTTTCTCCTTCTTTCTTTTTTTCTTTCTTTTTCTTTCTCCTTTTCCATCTTCCTCATCTCTCCTCCGTTCCTCCTATCTCCGCCGGCTCCATAAACATGGATAATGCACTGGTCCTTTTTCCGACGCCCAAGGAGATCGAGACCGCCAACAAGATCCCCCCCTTCGTCGACACCTTCTACAACCTCGTCACAGACATTTACGAGTGGGGTTGGGGCCAATCCTTCCACTTCTCCCCCTCCATCCAGGGGAAATCCCATCGCGACGCGACCCGAATACACGAAGAGATGGCTGTCGATCTGCTCGGAGTGAAGGCCGGCGACTGAATCCTGGACGCCGGCTGCGGCGTGGGGGGGGGGGGTCCGATGCGTGCCATTGTTGCCCGTCCTAGACGCCGGTTTCTCCTCTTTCTTCAATTTCCCCTTCTTCTTCCCCGTCTCCATCCCCGTCCACCGTCCCTGCCGACGAACGTATGTTTCAGTCCACCGCCGATTGCAAGTCAGTTGGCTTTTTTTATCATTGCGCAAATCAGCCGGCTTATTCCATGTTTACAACCAAATCCATTGAAATCTCTAGATGTTTTCATAGATTTGTAAAATGAATTTTCTTGAGAAAAATAACCTCAAAATCCATCAAAATCCAAACATAATTAAAATCTTTTAAAATCTATAGATTATTTAATACCATTGGATTTTAGCAGACATTTTAAAATCTAAATTGAATACTTTCAGATTTTAAATGATTTTTTAAAATCTAGATTGAATACGTACTCTCAGATTTTAAATGACTTTTTAAAATCTCAATTTAATACTCACTAACTTTTAAAATCCAAAAAAATCCTACAGATTCTTGATTGAATACACCCTCCTAAATCACTGCTTTAAGTCATAGCTAATCAGAACCTATTTTACCTATTTTATTTAATATCATACCTTTCAATTAGCTAAGTTCAAGGTGCATAATTTATTTAGAAATGTGTAGAGCAGCTTCTTTTTTTTCTAATTCTTTTTGTCCTAAGTTGCTTTTCAAGTAAAGTTAATCTTTAGGAAATCTCTTTTCTTTTCTAAGTCTTGGTTATCTACATATTATCAAGATGCTGAAATTAATAAATATACATACTGGGACACCATCTTTGGTAGGCATGGGTGGCATGGCACCTTTGTCCCTTTAAGCAACAGATCTTAAAAGGAAGTGATGTTGTGTATGGAGAAAACCGGAAGAGCAAACTTCGTTTTGGGTCGTACGAATCTCGTCCATAACCAGTTTAAAATAAAAAGAACCGATGCCATTGATCAAAAAAAGTGTAATAAATGGCTAGGAACAAAAAAAGAAGAACAGAATAAATAAATGAGTAAAAATGTTGTTTGAGCACTCGAGTTGATACCCTCGGAATACTTCTTTATTTAGGTCCTGGGCTATCTGGAATGGGTCTGGGGTAGCCTGGTTGAGACTCGCTACACGGGTCAACTCAAACAACTAAAAATTTAATTAAATCAATAATTAAAAGTTTCCAGATTTTAGGAAGAAAATAAATTTTCTTAAACGTTTCTTTTACTTGATTGTTAGTTAGGATTTCTAACTACTTTTTGCTGCTCTAATTATTTCTTTAAAATTGTTCTCAATGACTTGGTTAATTCAAAGTTTTGACATCAAATGAAAATAGTTTCTACTTAGCTTTGAAGTGAAATAATTGTTTTGAGGTTTAAGGTAGCAAGCTGATTTTTAAGGTGTTTACTCTGTTTGGTACAATTTTAATCTCTATTTAATGTTTTAAGCAACACTTTAGATTGTTTCGAGATAAGAGAATTGTTCTGAATTCTGATTTTAACACAAAAAGAAAAAAAAGGAATGATTGTGAAAATCTAATTTGCACGAGGGCGTGCAAAAGGCTAAGTGTGAGGGTATTTGATAAGTTCTCAAATGTCATACTTTATTCCCTCTTATTAGCCAACCCGTTTTAGTATTGTCCAAATGTATTTTATACACATTTAATCACTATTATTTTTATATAGCAATTTAGGCCATTATTTATATTTTACTCATAAAATGCATTCTTTTATTTATTCTTTTATTTCACTATTTTTATTATCTCATTTATCTTGACGTAGGTCTTAAAAATTATTTTACGAAGCATCAAAAGGCTCGGTGACGATGTCAAGTTAGATCCTGGTGGACTGTCAAGAATCATATCAAGAATTGAAATGGGCCAAGTCACACAGGACATGACCCAACAGTCCCGAGCAGCCCACAACGATGTTAGTCTGGAGCCCAGCCAACGGACAACCCAAACATCTTCAACTTCGATTACAGCGGCGGAACACCAACAATTGTTTACCAAAGGTTGAATTAATTTATCTATTCTTCTCAATTGCAAGATTCTGTTGTTCAGCAAGTTGGATTTTGCTTCTTATGTTTTGGTTCAAATTCCTTCCTTGCGTATGGTCTGTAGGGTTCTAAGTTTTTCCATTGATGCATGTTTGTTCTTCTTAATGTTCAAATCTGATTTGTTAGGGTTAATCGGTCTCTGGATTATTGAAAAAAACTCTTCATGCTATTTTATTCATCAAAGAGGTTGAATCTTTGGGTCAAGAATCTTTTGGTTGAGTAGTATGGCTATGAAGATGTTTTTAGCCTTAGTGCTAGGATTGGTGTGAACTCAAAAAATGGTGTTTGGAAATTGGTTTTTGTTTATGCTTAGATTAGACAAATTTAGGACGGCGGCCTAGAATCTAATTCCAAATTGACAGTTTTAAGATCTTGAGTACGTTTATAGTTATGATTTTCAAAGCACAAGTGTCCCTTAATTAATACTTAATTGGCTCTCGCCCGGTTTTATTAATTGGAGTTTTCAAACGGGCTATGTTAAATAGATATAGTCTACGGCATAGTTGTTAAGTGATGTTTTCCATTAAACTAAATGCTCTAGTTTTAATTAAATCTTTGGGCAGGTCCTTAGGTTGTTAAAAATAGTAGGGTCTAGTGTTAGGGCATGTCTTAACATAGACTATTTAAGGGAAAATAGGGAAGAACCGCAGGTGGATTTCTTCTTCAACTTAACCCAGAGTTTTGTCAATCGTTTTAATTTGGAGTAGTTATACTTAATTTAAGAGTCTGGATTTGATCAATTCGTTTTTTCAAAACTATAAAGTATTTTCAAAAATCAGTTTAAGTTAATTATTATTGTTTACGTTTTTATAAAGTTTAAGGTGTTTGTTTGTTTTGTGTTAGTGTTGTCCTTGTGTGTCTTCATCCTTTTTCTAAGTGGCTGCTATGGTTGTGTTTTCTTTGCCCATTTTATCCACTTTTATTTATTTTTATCTTTCCAATTTATCTTTTAAAACCCCCCAATTCGTTACTTACTTATTTAGTTGTCTCTAGTTGGTGTTTTTTAAATGAAAAAAAGTAAAACTTAAATAAGTGATTTTCATAAAATAAAGAATATCTTTCTCCGTGGGATCGACTCTTACTTACCCTAGCTATAAAATATAAGTTTTAAATTAAAAAGGGGATAAGAAAAAGAATTAATTTGTAGGCACTACGACACGCCCAACATGATTCAAATTAAATTATATATAATTAATATCAACACTTTTGGAACCACCCCGTAGCTTAAAACGGAACCAAAAATGCGTAGAAACCGTCAAGGGATCGATCACCTAAGAAATGATCGATCACTCGATGTCAGGATGGAGCTCCAGAAACATTTTTTTAAGGATGATGATCGATCACCAAGCTTGTGATCGATCACCTAGAGTCATTTTTGTTAAAATGTAGTGTTTCATTTCGGGGGATCGATCGCCCGACATCCCCAACTCACATTCACGCCGTTTTTCGATATCATATGAAGGGTAAACCTTTTTTTTGTATTTGTTGAATGATTTATTATCATGTTTTAACCTCCAAACTTACTAAAAGTGTATATTTTCGATGAGATGAATTCTCGTACTATATTATGTGGTTTAAATTTGAGATCTTCACATGCTCCCAATCCGTGAACATGATTAAATCATGTCTAGTGATTAAAAGGATATTTTGGATGATTTGAACTAAGTCACATTTAACGATAGGTAGTATGGATTTAAGTGTATATATGTGGGCGATATTAGAAGTTGAGTATGTACGTACATAAGGTCCTAGAGTCGGTCAGGTGCCCGGAAATCACTCAACGTGTGTGTCCGGAACCAGAAGAGTATGTATACCAAAATGGGAAAGGCCACAGAACATTTGAACCTGAAGCAAAAGGCGTTCGGACCCAGACTCAGATAAGGGGAGTCTTATCGAGTCTTTTTCTCTACGGAGATTGACTCCATGGTATGGCGAGGATTAGCTGAGCGCACAATTGTCTTTGTTGTGTGACTATGCATAGGTAATAAGCTACGACATCCATTCGGAAGATGCTGAGGCGGGAGAGTTGGCAGAAGGATGCGAGATCTGATCTGTTTTTAATAATTTAAAGTATTTTGGGACTTGAACCAATATATGTATATATGTTGAATCTTATTTAGCTTCCACAACGATTAAATTAAATTACTCTGAAAATTATTTTATCATATTTTGAGGAGACTATGTTTTTAATGCTTACTTTACCAAATTGCTAGCGCTCTAGTTTGCTAACCCGCGTGAACCGGGTTATGCGAATCGGGATGTTACACCACTAGCGATGTCACTACATTTTTGGAGCACCTCCGGTACTTCGTTTGAAAAATTTAGTTCCTACCCCTAACCCACCCCCTAAACCCCCTACCCTAGACCCACCATTACCTCCACCCAAACCTCGCCATAAGCTCCCCTCCAAATGTATGGCTATTATGCATTGCATAATAGCCACACATTGGGGGGGCTTAGGGTGGAGGGTGGGGATAGGGTTGAGGGTTAGGGGGTGGGTTAGGGGAGTAGTTGTTGGCCATGTGTGCATCAATTGTTCCGTGGCGGAGGCTATGTGTACCAAGTCACAATCAAATATCGTGGGCGCTTGTGTGTTGAATGCACTATAAGGCTAGGGTATGCACCTCTTCTAACACCAATTGGTTTTAGAAGAGTTGGTAGCGCCTGAGGTCCTACAAGTGGTATCGGAGCCAAAGTCACGAGTTCGATTCCCAACGGGAGCAATTGCTGAGGGGGAGATTGTTGGCCATGTGTGCATCAATTGTCCCGTGGCAGAGGCTATGTGTGCCAAGTCACAATCGAATGTTGTGAGCGCTTGTGTGTTGAATGTACTATAACGCTAGGGTATGCGCCTCTTCTAACACCAATTGGTTTTAGAAGAGTTGGTAGCGTCTGAGGTCGTACAGATTCGACTGTAGGGTCCCATACCATGAATCATTCAATCCCATCAAAAATAGGTGTGCACGCTCTGTCTCACGCATCTTCGCAAGCATTGCTGGGAAATCACATGTGTAGTTTTTTTCATACACACACTAGAAGACGCTCAAGATCCGCCAAGTCATCCCACAACTTCTTCATCTTGCCATAATATTCCATTATGAAAAGATTTTTTTGTTTGCACTCTGCCAACTCCCGTTTGAATTATTGAACCCTAGGTCCATTAACAACAGTGAAACGAGCCTTCAGATCATTCCACAGGTTAAAGGCCTTCTCTACTAACGATATGCTTGATCTCAAGGTTGGATCAATAGTGTTCGGAAACCATGAGACCAAAAGAGAATGATTTGTCCAGCAATCATCCAAATCATTAGGATAGGGATCTGGGATTTCGATCGATCCATCAACAAATCCAAATTTCTTGCGTGCTCGAAGAGCAGGACACAGAGATTTGGACAACTCATTTATCTCCCTTCAAGACAACCTGGGTTAAAAGCATACCAAGATTATCACTTGGAGACAAATCGAGCGGTGAGACAACAATGTCGCATTACAACATCATCTTCATCGTGTTCCTCAAGCTTCTTGCTTGAGGCAATCTTCTCTGTCGGCTCCTCAAACTTACTTGACGGCGGCGGGAGCGGCTGTGTCCGTGAGATGACAGTGACGATCGATGGATGATCAGGGCCAACCGACCATGCGCAGCAGCAGCGAAAATCCAAGGGTGGCAGATGGCTCAGTGCCGATCGGCCAATATCAGTATTTTAGGTTTAAGGCTCCGGAACAATGAAAGAATAGTATTATGGGAGGATTTCTCCTGTATTCACAATATGAACAATGAGGGTATATCGGATCCCATAGGCTAGAAACTCAATATGGTAACTAAATACAAAAAGAAAGAAATACAAAAGGGAATCAACATATATCAGAAAACTATCATATACTCCCTCCGTCCAAAAATTATCTTCTCGTTCATTATTCACAAGGTCAAACTTTTTCACTTTGTTGGCCTATTTTCATTGTCCATTTGATAAAATAATATAGTCATGTCACTTCTAATTTTGTAGATCTTTTGATGTGGTTCTTTAATACTCCCTCCATCCCAGAGTATTTGTCCACTTTCATTTTTACACACCATCCAATGTACTTCTTTAATCCATTTTATCTTGTAATTTTTATATTAAAAAATTATAGAAATTATATATTAATAATCTATATGTTAAGACAAATCAAACAAGATCACACATGACTATATTTAGGCTTACACATTGAGAGAATTTGATGAGTCAAAGTGCTTAGATAAACAGTTCCAAAAGTCAAAAGTGGACAAACAAAGCGGGACGGAGGGAATATGTACTCCCTCCGTTCCTTTAAACCCTTCCACTTTTGACTTTGGGTAAAAATAAGGAAAGTGTAATTTTGGTTGACTTTCTAATTTTGCCCCTGATGTGATGGGTAAAAGTAAGATGTGATAATTTGGTTATTAGAGAAAAAGTATGATGTGATAGGAAAAGTATGAAAAAGTAAGGGTAAAAGTGGTTTTTTAATAGAAAGTGGAAGTGTTTTAGGGAATTCAAAAAAAACGAAAGGGGAAGGGTTTTGTGGAACGGAGAGAGTAATTTATATTTTTTAATTTAATATCATTTTTCATATAAATAATTTAAAAATAATTTCAGTCAAATATCGTAACAACGATAGATTATGAGATTGTGTAAAGAATTAGTTACAATGTGTTTTTTTTATGCATAACTGCATAAGGGCAGGACCCCTTTATAGAGTAATTGATGGCCCAATACGATTTTATTCTAATTATAGCTCTTCATTGATGATATGAAAGTG